TCCCAGAGGACCAGCCTCAGCAGGGGAGGCTTCTGTGGCTGGGACTGGGATGTGCATTGAGTGCCTTCTCTTACTGAAGGTTTCCCTGCTGGGCATTCCCCTCAGCTGGGTAGACGGGGAAGCTGGGCTCAGTGAGTGCTGTTGCCAGCGGCATCTGACAAGGGACTCCCCACAGGCTCAGGTTTTCCACAGCAGAGCAGCCCCTGGGCTCCAAAACCAAGTGTCCTGGTGAACTGGAAACAGCATGGCCATTCATGATCTGGGCACTCCTGCCATTCTGCAGATAGACAGTCATAGGCTTGCTCAAATTTACAAGGTGAGGACAGAGACTCGGACTCACCATGGGGGGAGTGCCCAAGAATTTGCAGCCATAAACCACCACAATGCCCTTGGGCATGAGGGAGATGTGGATCAGGACACCAAAAGGGAAGGTCTGCTACCATATTTCCTTGGGGACCAAAGAGAGAACACTCAGATATTAGTGAGGTTGACCTCCCTTTCCTGGGAACTAAATGCCTTATTTTATTCCTTCCAAATATATGCAGCAATCTCCACCATTTGGGGTCTCAGTTTCACCATCTGTAAAATGAACAGGTGGAACTGGTTGGTCTTTAAAATTCATTTTGACTTTAAAAATCTAAGGTTCTGTCAAAATCGATCCCTGTGATTTGCCCGGACCAGATAGTTCTAGCTGAATTGGCACAAAGGTCGCCACTCACAGCTCTTCTCATCTCTGAAATTCTTCTCAGTACCACAGAGGTCTACTTCCACAATGCCTCCCTTCACCACTCCCTCATTAAGTCAATCAGACTGAGACCTCCCAGGTCCCCTTCTGAGGTTCTCCATGCAACTACCCAGTTCAGTTAAAAGGCTCTCCACCCTCTGGTCTTCTGGGCCCAGCCCTTCTGGAAGTACAGTGTGAATGCTGACGCACTTCCCCATCCTCCAAGGTGAGTGTGCCACCTGGTGTCAGAGACTATGGTCCACTGGATCCTGCCCGGCCCTGTCTGACTTTCCCGAGTTTCCTGGTAGTGCTGACCCTGAGGGGGAACACCCAGGAAAGTGGAAGCCTTTGATGTTTAAAAAGCACCTGGAAAAATACATTTTCTTTTATTACATAGGTAACATAAAATGCACAATAATAGCACATTTCATTATTTGATTTGAATATTGTATTTTATTAATTTGTATCATACTGTCAAACACAAGATTCTGAAATGCCATTCCAGCTTACTTTTTCTGATAAATTCCAGAAAGTTGTTCAGGCATGTTTTCCCTCTGAAAAAGCACTGCCGGAGAACTAGAACAAATAATTTCACAATTTGTATGGAAATACAAAAAACCTCGAAGCCAAAGTAACCTTGAGAAAGAAGAATGGAACTGGAGGAATCAACCTGCCTGACTTCAGACTATACTACAAAGCCACAGTCATCAAGACAGTATGGTACTGGCACAAAGACAGAAATATAGATCAATGGAACAGAATAGAAAGCCCAGAGATAAATCCACGAACCTATGGTCACCTTATCTTTGACAAAGGAGGCAAGGATATACAATGGAAAAAAGACAACCTCTTTAACAAGTGGTGCTGGGAAAACTGGTCAACCACCTGTAAAAGAATGAAACTAGAACACTTTCTAACACCATACACAAAAATAAACTCAAAATGGATTAAAGATCTAAATGTAAGACCAGAAACTATAAAACTCCTAGAGGAGAACATAGGCAAAACACTCTCCAACATAAATCACAGCAGGATCCTCTATGACCCACATCCCAGAATTTTAGAAACAAAAGCAAAAATAAACAAATGGGACCTAATGAAACTTAAAAGCTTTTGCACAACAAAGGAAACTATAAGCAAGGTGAAAAGACAGCCCTCAGATTGGGAGAAAATAATAGCAAACGAAGCAACAGACAAAGGATTAATCTCAAAAATATACAAGCAACTCCTCCAGCTCAACTCCAGAAAAATAAATGACCCAATCAAAAAATGGGCCAAAGAACTAAACAGACATTTCTCCAAGGAAGACATACAGATGGCTAACAAACACATGAAAAGATGCTCAACATCACTCATTATCAGAGAAATGCAAATCAAAACCACAATGAGGTACCATTACACGCCAGTCAGGATGGCTGCTATCCAAAAGTCTACAAGCAATAAATGCTGGAGAGGGTGTGGAGGAAAGGGAACCCTCTTACACTGTTGGTGGGAATGCAAATTAGTACAGCCACTATGGAAAACAGTGTGGAGATTTCTTAAAAAGCTGGAAATAGAACTGCCATATGACCCAGCAATCCCACTCCTGGGCATACACACCGAGGAAACCAGATCTGAAAGAGACACGTGTACCCCAATGTTCATCGCAGCACTGTTTATAATAGCCGGGACATGGAAGCAACCTAGATGCCCATCAGCAGACGAATGGATGAGGAAGCTGTGGTACATATACACCATGGAATATTACTCAGCCATTAAAAAGAATTCATTTGAATCAGTTCTAATGAGATGGATGAAACTGGAGCCCATTATACAGAGCGAAGTAAGCCAGAAAGATAAAGACCATTACAGTATACTAACACATATATATGGAATTTAGAAAGATGGTAACGATAACCCTATATGCAAAACAGAAAAAGAGACTCAGATGTATAGAACAGACTTTTGGACTCTGTGGGAGAAGGCGAGGGTGGGATGTTTCAAGAGAACAGCATCGAAACATGTATATTATCTAGGGTGAAACAGATCACCAGCCCAGGTTGGATGCATGAGACAAGTGCTCGGGCCTGGTGCACTGGGAAGACCCAGAGGGATCGGGTGGAGAGGGAGGTGGGAGGGGGGACCGGGATGGGGAATACATGTAAATCCATGGCTAATTCATTTCAATGTATGACAAAAACCACTGCAATGTTGTAAAGTAATTAGCCTCCAACTAATAAAAATAAATGGAAAAAAAAAAAAAAAGCACTGCCGGCAAGCACTTATGGTCTATATCACTAATGTGACAAGTATACAAATCTACCCTGCATCAAAATTGTTGCCATACACAGGCCTGTTCCTTCCATAGTTAGGTGGGGTGAGGGAGGGGGCAGTGTCAAGCACTGTGATTTGTATAGCTTCTCACTCCTGTTTCCTTCCCTCTTAGGGATCCACACGCCCTCTCACCCAACCGTTAGGTCTTATAGAAAGAGATAGACAAATATATGCTGATTGATGCTACAGCATCTTGCTGCTCAGGTGACCTGTGTCCCTGTCACTCTGCTCCTCCTCTCCATCTCCCTTGAGGCTTTTCCAGCCCCTCCTCTGTCAGATCTTCTGGATCTCTGGATGCAAAGGCAGCAATCTAGTTCCAGGACCTGTACTTTCACCAACAGTGTGAAACAACTGGGACCTGAGTTTATTTTCCCCGTTGTTACCCTCAGCATCCTTCACCTTGTCTCAGGGCTTCCTTCACTCTGCTGCCCACTTCTGTTTGCACAAGGTAATACAGTCAAATAACATCTGGGCATGATCCCAATCCAATCACCATAATTCCTCCACCTCCCAATATGAAACAACACTGCTCGATTAAACACATCCGTTTAAACTAAAAAAGCCTCATTAATATCCAGGGTTGGAAGCCTGTTTCACTTGAGTAACTGCTTGCCTTATTATTTTATTTGATTTATTCCTCTGCCCCCATTATAAGGTTGCCTCTCCACTTAATGTAGCATCCAAACTAAATGTGTCTGTCTCACTGGACCCATAGAGAGGAGGACCAAGCCTGGAGGGTCCTCCAAATCTCATTTTTTCCATCCTTTGAACTTTCTCTATTTCTCTTGGGAGGAGGGCACCCAGGATATTTTAACCCTGGAAAGAGGAGGAAAACAAAACAAAAGAACAAATAAAGGCTTATTTTCTGCATAGACCTTGAAGGAAATTGTCCTAGATGCATCAAATCCAAGTTTAATTCTTCTCTGGATCCAGTCCTCTTCCAGAGAACTTCACTGACCCTCATGGGATGGTTGGGACAATCTCCCCAGGGACAGGTGCTAATACTTACACTCTAGCTAGATTCATAATGTCAGAATGATGTCTGCAAGGTCACAGCTGACACAGGTCATCCTGGCCGGAGTGTCATGTTTTTCCCATCTGCCCCTGGATGTTAGGCAGTCTTGAATTTCTTTGGAAAACAGGTTTGCTCTGGGAACCACCCTGGATGACGTTTCCCCCATAATCCGGGGTTTCAGTTTTCCAGATAAGAACACAGTAAAAAAAAAAAAAAAACTTAAAAATAAATTCATTGCACCTCTCCTGGTCTCCAGAGCTATGGCTCTCAAAATTATGAAGTAGAGAGGACAGAGTACTGCCTCTGATTAAATATGAAGCCCTGGCCCGCTTTCCTTCTAGAAGGTTCTTGTTTTCCTCTCCTGCGGCACCTCCCTCCCTCAATCTCCTTGAAAAATGAGTGCTTATGGACACTGTTCCAAGGAGGACCCATACATCCTTGATGTAGTGGGACACGGGAGGACTCTGCAGGTGTGAGGGATGCATGCGGTGGAGAGCCTCATGCTCATACTCTAGGACATGCTGGGCAAGATGTGTAGGCAATCAAAGTCCACACAGCTTGATTCTTCTGAGCTGATACTGAGATGGGCACCAAAAGTCTACTTTCTACAGAAAGGGATGGGGCAAACAACTAAATCTCTCTCTCTCTGCAAGTCAATGCTTCCTAACTCTAGGTAGACTGGGTGCCTCTCCTGCATATCTTTGAACAGTGCAAAGCTTGCATGGATGGAAAAGAGGACAAAGCTGCAAAATTAAGTGGCTCAGGAGGATGGCAGGAATAACACATGGGTACCAGGGGGTGAGAGCAGCTGTTGGTTCAGTGATTTTCAGTCATCAGTAAGATTGTGGGTGATTTAATGCTGCAAAAGGAATTAGAGTTGATTTCAGATTACCTCAAGATAAATTTACACCAACTTTCCCCATTTAAAGTACATGGAGAGTGGGAGAGATGGAGTGGAGTGGCGGAACATACCCTGCAGCCGCTGCCTGGCACCAAGGTGACCATCCTCCCCTGTGGTACCCAGGATGGTCCTCTTGACTGTGCATCATTGCAGGGACTTTTCCCTCAATTTTCTCACTGTTCCATTAAATCTAAGTGCATCCATTGAATTCTGTCAAGCATGTGGAATTCATCCATCATGTGTGATGTTGACAGGGAAAAATAATGAAACTTGCTGGTCTGGATAATTTCTGAGGGCTCTCTTCTGATCTGCATTGGGGAGGGGGGGGGTGGCCTGAAGCAGGATGGAGAGAGAGGGGTGGTTTGCCACCCACTCCTACTCACACAAACAGGTTGAAGGCCAAAAACAAAGGAAAGACCCAAATGGCCTCTGACAAGCTGCCTAAAGGGGGTTTCCAGCATTGAAGTGGGAAGAACACTACATTTGGGATTGAAATGGATCAGGGATGCCGAAACACAGCCCTGTGTTCTGCCAGAGATGGTCCTGTGTATTTTTATTATTTTTTTTCTTTTCTTTTTTAATTTTTTTTTTTACAATATTGTAGTGGGTTTTGCCATACATTGACATGAATCAGCCATGGATTTACATGTATTCCCCATCCTGATCCCCCCTCCCACCTCCCTCTCCATTCCATCCCTCTGGGTCTTCCCAGTGCACCAGCCCTGAGCACTTGTCTCATGCATCCAACCTGGGCTGGTGATCTGTTTCACCCTTGATAGTATACTTGTTTCAATGCTGTTCTCTCAGAACATCCCACCCTCACCTTCTCCCACAGAGTCCAAAAGTATGTTCTGTACATCTATGTCTCTTTTTCTGTTTTGCATACAGGGTTATCGTTACCATCTTTTTAAATTCCATATATATGTATTAGTATACTGTATTGGTCTTTATCTTTCTGGTTTACTTCACTCTGTTATAATGGTTTCATCCATCTCATTAGAACTGATTCAAATGAATTCTTTTTAATGGCTGAGTAATATTCCATAGTGTATATGTACCACAGCTTCCTCATCCATTTGTCTGCTGATGGGCATCTAGGTTGCTTCCATGTCCTGGCTATTATAAACAGTGTTGCGAAGAACACTGGGGTACACGTGTCTCTTTCAGATCTGATTTCCTCAGTGTGTATGCCCAGGAGTGGGATTGCTGGGTCATATGGCAGTTCTATTTCCAGTTTTTTAAGAAATCTCCACACTGTTCTCCATAGCGGCTGTACTAGTTTGCATTCCCACCAACGGTGTAAGAGGGTTGCCTTTTCTCCACACCCTCTCCAGCACTTATTGCTTGTAGACTTTTGGATAGCAGCCATTCTGACTGGCGTGTAATGGTACCTCATTGAGGTTTTGATTTGCATTTCTCTGATAATGAGTGATGTTGAGCATCTTTTCATGTGTTTGTTAGCCATCTGTATGTCTTCTTTGGAGAAATGTCTGTTTAGATCTTTGGCCCATTTTTTGATTGGGTCATTTATTTTTCTGGAATTGAGCTGCAGGAGTTGCTTATATATTTTTGAGATTAATCCTCTGTCTGTTGCTTCGTTTGCTATTATTTTCTCCCATTCTGAAGGCTGTCTTTCCACCTTGCTTATAGTTTCCTTTGTTGTGCAAAAGCTTTTAAGTTTCATTAGGTCCCATTTGTTTATTTTTGCTTTTATTGCCAATATTTTGGGAGGTGGGTCATAGAGGATCCTGCTGTGATTTATGTCAGAGAGTGTTTTGCCCATGTTCTCTTCTAGGAGTTTTATAGTTTCTGGTCTTACATTTAGATCTTTAATCCATTTTGAGTTTATTTTTGTGTATGGTGTTAGAAAGTGTTCTAGTTTCATTCTTTTACAAGTGGTTGACCAGTTTTCCCAGCACCACTTGTTAAAGAGATTGTCTTTTCTCCATTGTATATTCTTGCCTCCTTTGTCGAAGATAAGGAGGTTCATGGATTTATCTCTGGGCTTTCTATTCTGTTCCACTGATCTATATTTCTGTCTTTGTGCCAGTACCATACTGTCTTGATGAATGTGGCTTTGTAGTAGAGCCTGAAGTCAGGCAGGTTGATTCCTGCAGTTCCGTTCTTCTTTCTCAAGATTGCTTTGGCTACTCGAGGTTTTTTGTATTTCCATACACATTGTGAAATTATCTGTTCTAGTTCTGTGAAGAGGTCCTGTGTATTTTTAGGGGTGGGTGTGAGAGAAGGGTGGGCTAAGCTGTGTCCTAGTAGCACTTCACAAAAGATTTAGGCCCATTGCCCATGCTATGAGATGGGGATGGAGAAGTTAGAGTCCCAGTTGCAGGCTATAGAGCCAGGCGCAATTTGGGGTTTGTCTTTTACTGCTACCATGAAATGCCTTTCATCTGACACACACACAAGTTTAGTTCACTATGCCCAAGAAACAACACTGCACTTTGGTCTAATGCTGAGAGGGATGCGGGATTTTGCAAGGCAGCAATTACAGGCTGGCAGAAATCCTATGCTCTTGTCAGATGACCCCTCAGTCCACAACTTCTCCACCCTGTGTCCTGGCACTTCCAGGGGCTACCAGCGCACCCCGTTCATTCTAACACTTGCCTGCAGTCCTGAACCAAGCTTCCTGAATTGGCCCTTATCACCTCACCAGCAAGAGTCATCCATCAATGACCCAGTGCTGTCCAGCACTGTTGTTGCTATGACGACAGTCACCCATGAGTACATTAAGAGAAAGGTAACCACATTTTTAGCAGGTGTACAGTCCTAGCATGACATACCAGTGCAGACTTATAAAGCTTCCTAGTTTCCCTAAGACTTTTCTTTCCCACAAGACTTTTAAAATTAGGAACCAGTATCCTAAGTAATCACTTAGTCTAAGTAATTGCAAAGAACACAATTTCCCTAGCAACCAGAGAAATGTTACTTCCTCCTGTTCAGGGGTTAAAAATAACATTGCATGTGCCACTGTAACCAACTAGAATCTCCAAATTGTCTTCTGTAGCAGCCCCCGGTTGTTGCAGATGGCGAACTGCCTAAATCTCATTTATCATCAAGAGAAACTTTCTAAGGTACAAAGGGAATTCACCTCTATTGGATCACTCAGGCAACCTCTCTGACTTCATTAAAAAAAAAAATTCAGTCATCTTCGTCCTCATGAGCAGGGGCAGGATTCCCCTTCTTCCCCTTTCCTGCACTGGACCAATGTTCCAGGCATGCACAGCACTCAAGATTCTCTGACCAGACCACCTGCCTGCCTGCCTGTCCCCCTCCCACCCTTCTTTTCTTATTCCTTCTTTAATATTTATGTTTATTTATGTATCTGGCTTTGCTGAGTCTTATTTATAGCACATGGGATCTTCTATCTTTGTTGTGGCATGCGGGATCTTTACTTGCAGCATGTGCTTCCCAAGTGGCACTAGTGGTAAAGAACAAGCCTGCCAATGCAAGAGACATAAAAGATGCAGGTTTGATCACTGGGTTGGGAAGATCCCCTGGGGAAGGGTATGGCAACTCACTTCAGTATTCTTGCCTGAAGAATCCCATGGAAAGAGGAGCCTGGCAGGCTACAGTTCCTAGGGTTGCACAGAGTCATGTATGACTCCTTGCATTGGGGGTGCAGAGTCTTAACCACTGGACCACCAAGAAGGCCCTCCACTCCCTTTTTACTTGTTATATTAACTAGCATACAATAAAATTTAAAAGTCTTAAGTGATCAGTTCAATGAATTCTAGCAATTATATATGCAAGATATAGAATGTTTCCATCACCCTAGAAAGTTCTCTTCATATACCTTTCCAGTCACTATACCATTCCCTAACCTGAAGCAACACCAGATTACCAATACCAAAATCAGATTGATTATATTATTTGCAGCCAAAGATGGAGACGCTCTATACAATCAGCAAAAACAAGACCAGGAGCTGACTGTGGCTCAGATTGTGAACTCCTTATTGCAAAATTCAGACTTAAATTGAAGAAAGCAGGGAAAACCACTAGACGATTCAGGTATGACCTAAATCAAATCCCTTATGATTATACAGGGGAAGTGACAAAAGATTCAAGGGATTAGATCTGATAGAGTGGCCGAAGAACTGTGGATGGAAGTTCGTGACATTGAACAAGAGACAGGAATCAAGACCATCCCCCAAAAAAAGAAATGCAAAAAGGCAAAATGGTTGTCTGAGGAGGCTTTACTAATAGCTGTGAAAAGAGGAGAAGTGAAAGGCAAAGGAGAAAAGGAAAGATATACCCATTTGAATGCAGAGTTTCAAAGAATAGTAAGGAGAGATAAGAACACCTTCCTCAGTGATCAATGCAAAGAAATAGAGGAAAACAATAGAATGAGAAAGACTAGAGATCTCTTCAAGAAAATTAGAGATACCAAGGGAACATTTCATGCAAAGATGGGCTCAATAGAGGACAGAAATGGTATGGAGCTAACAGAATCAGAAGATGTTAAGAAGAGGCGGCAAGAATACACAGAAGAACTGTTAAAAAAAGATCTTCACGACCCAGATAATCACAATGGTGTGATCACTCACACTCACCTAGAGCCGGACCTCTTGGAATGTGAAATCAAGTGGGCCTTAGGAAGCATCACTACAAACAAAGCTAGTGGAGGTGATGGAATTCCAGTTGAGCTTTTCAAATCCTGAAAGATGATGCTATGAAAGTGCTGCTCTCAATATGCCAGCAAATTTGGAAAGCTCAGCCGTGGCCACAGGACTGGAAAAGGTCAGTTTTCATTCCAATCCCAAAGAAAGGCAATGCCAAAGAATGCTCAAACTACTGCACAACTGCACTCATCTCACGTGCTACTAAAGTAATGCTCAAAATTCTCCAAGCCAGGCTTCAGCAATACATGAACCATAAACTTCCAGATGTTCAAGCTGGTTTTAGAAAAGACAGAGGAACCAGAGATCAAATTGCCAACATCTGCTGGATCATCGCAAAAGCAAGAGAGTTCCAGAAAAACATCTATTTCTGCTTTATTGACTATGCCAAAGCCTTTGACTATGTGGATCACAATAAACTGTGGAAAATTCTGAAGAAGATGGAAATACCAGACCACCTGACCT